CAACCCCAACTCAACCAATCAAAAAGCATCCATTTTTAACCAATAAAACCTCCTCTCCACAACCCACCAATCTCCTGTCACTTTCTGACAATAAAAGCATCCTCAAAAAACTACCAATACCAAAAGAGAAAAAAAGAAAAGGAAAAAAAGGGCCCACCAACCCCGTCCTAGCATTTACAATTCATTTTTCATCAACAAAAATGCAACACCACTTCCAGCAAAAGCACTTTGATTTATATAAAGAAATCTCCCTGGTGCTCTACATGATACCAAGACACAGCCCATTATTTATTCTGTTCAATAGCAGCCAGCCAACCAACCATCTTCCATGGTAATCAATTCAAAATAAAAACAAAAAATATTTTAATCCAAATTCAGTAGCAGAAGTCATATGCTAATAAGATTTACCTTCAACATTGAAGAAATTTGGGCCTTGGTCAGCTGAATGCCTCCTCTTTGTCAAAAACATTCTGTCACTCATAAAGAAACAGTTGAGAGAAATGAATCGGGAAAAATAGGTGCATATGTCTTACTCTTTGCCCCTTTCCATTAACAGACTGAAGCCATCAACAGGAGGGGAAGAAAGTAACTGTGAAAATATACTGTAATTTGTGGTATATGATGACATAACATATCGAAATCACATGATCGATGGTCGATCCAAAAAAGAAACAAAAAAATTGGAAAAAAGAGAAAAAAAAGAGTGAAAGATTTGGGATTGACTCTCCCTCCATGGAATGGAGTGGTTGCACCGAACCGCGGTTTGTATTAGCGCCTTCTTCTTCTTCTTCTGTGTACAATCTAACTTCACCTGCTCTCTTCTTCTCCAAATGGCAGGCTTGCTCCTTCTTCTATACAGGAATTGCATATGGCATAAAATTAAACATGTTCTCCAGCTGACTCCACAGATTCTCTCGGATTTTTTCGAAGTTGACCTCTTGTAGTAATCCGACACTTCCAGAATGCATGTGGGGAACCCTATTTAAATATCTCTTTTGGTTAAAATGTCTAGAGCTGAGAGGAGAACTATGGTGGAAATGTAATCACAACTCCACATATTTGTGTAAATCATGTACTACTCAATCCTTCCTCTGACAATTGCAGACACTCTTCAGGGTTAGAATAGAAATAATCTTCTTCTTTAGGCCTGTCTGGAATGACCAATCTCTTGGTAGGGTTCCCCCAACGAGCGGCATGAGCTTCTTTGACTGCAGATGAGAATTCATCCCAGCTAAGCAATTCTCTGTTGTATTGATCTATCAGATCTACAAGTAGCCTTCTGTCCAATAAGATTGTCTTCTTATACCCGAGATATCTACAGAAGACGAAAAATAACCAGATAGTTAATTTAGAGCACCCTTCAAAAGCAGTCACATGAACAAATATAACTGAGCTTGAAAATTCGAGCAAGATATGATCAAGTATGCAGCAGGTTAAATTGGTTTACAAACTGTACCTGCGATGACCTTCAACGACTTTAGCCATGTTTCCGTCATACGTAGGAACGAATATATCACTCTCCAGAGAAACAAGATAATCTAGTGCTGCCATCTGAGATGAATGATTCTGGAAGAACCTAAGTTCTGAAGGTTCCAACAAAGTCTCCTTTCTTACCTGTTTCAACAAATCAAAATGTCTTAAGACATGACAATCACATACCAGAATTCAGGAGATTTGTATCGACATCTACTAACCACTTTCGGAAAAGCTTTTGAAAGAGCAGCCATTCTCCTTTCGCCACCATATATTTCGCCAGCAGCAATATAAATCTGGATATTGGGATCAATATCCAGTGCCCTCAGTGTAAGTGCAGTTTCCTCGGGCGTTAATGGACACAAACCATCTTTCCTTTTCAACTCAGAATTTATTATTTTTTCTTTCCACCATGGATAAGCATATCTACCAACAGAAGAAACAAGATCACAAGAGTGAGATTAAACTCACTTATAATTAATATAAATTGGTCGCCATTGATTCAATAGAAGACTGAAGACTAACCTCATTCTTGTCAATTCTTCAACCTCTTCTTCATTGCAGCCTTGAGTACAGCCAGAAAATGCCAACATGTCCATTTCATATCTGAGATGAAGAACTAGAAAAGGACCATTCTGGCTTAGGAGCTTTATAACTTTTCTTCCCAACTCCTCAATTTGGGAAGTGAACCTCAGAGCACTGAAGTTTACCCGGCAGCGCAGTTTTTGAATCTCCATAGGTTGACCATTGTTGGCAAGTCGAGCATCAGTTCTATTTAGATGCACAACTTTATATTTTTGAATCAGAGGAAGGACCTATAGCAAGGGCGCAACCCCAATGGTAAATATTCACTACTTCAAAATTAAATTCCAAACAGTAAAAATACCACATTCGATGAGAATGCAAAGAGCTACACAGATTATTTGAAATGAACCTATTAGAATTTAAAGCTTAAGGTATATCAAATACCAGGAGCGGGTTGGGGGGAAGACTGACCTGATTATGGTAGTAAGATATATCAGACCAACTAATTGGTGGCATGGAATAAATCCTTCCCTGTTCCACTCTCTTCTTGAGCCTAGGTGGCAACTCCTTCAATATGCGCACTTCGTCTCTCAATGATGTAATGAAATGTTCCACATCAAATATGTCCTGAAATTCACTGCAACGTCATTGAGAAAAAAGGGTCATTGGATGCAGAATATATTCATCGGTCAAGCTCAAGAGGATTAGAAATCAAAATTGGTGGTCCTGTTGAACTATAAATGGAAACTTAGCATAGAGAAGATGGATTAACAAACCTGGGGTCAGCCCAAAAGGAGGTTTTATCTAATTCGGGTACAATAAGTGTCACATTCAAATATCTTGCAATTGTAACCATATCACAAATCTGTGAAGCATAACAGGGAGGAAAACTCAGCAAATGATATAATCATATAGCATAAACTTAGGAAAGAAAACAGTTAGCCCCCAATGCCCCCTCAAGACGACTTCACGAACCACTCACCGCAGCTCTCATTTGATTGAGTCCTCCATTGCACGAGACCATTAGATAACCATTGTTCTTATAGACCCCTACAAAATCGGAATCGGAAAACATCATATGAAGCCACAAAACTGTTAGAGAAGACGATACAATAGTGCCCAACAATAGTAAACGAAAAACAAAAACACAGAAAGAAGACAACAAAATATGGCATACACTACAAAAACTTTAGCATCCAGATAGATAAAAAATGAATGAAGAGAAGGGAAAATGAAGGTCTGAACCAGTTTCTAAGTTCTTTTTCATTCTATTTGTAGTTAGAAAGACCAAAGTCAACAGAAATAACTTTTCGAGGATTGAATTCTCTTGAACATTTAAAGACCAATTACAACAACAAAATGCCCTAAAAAAACTTAGCACCACTAGTAAGCAAACTCGATCATCAATCCACCACGGAAGAACTTACTCTTAGGAGGAAGCACAATTTTGGGAGGAACTGGAACTGGCTTATTGGGGATTCCGAACGCATCAACTGAAGCAGATTCCTGAGAGAAACAAGATGGCCAACCCTTCAAAACCCTCGGCCCCCACGTCTCCCCCAAGGCCGTCAACTGCACGATGCAAGTCCAGAGCAAAACCGACGTCATTGCACGGATCATCCATAGCTTCATCTTCGACCTCGGCGACACCATTGAACTCTTCAGCTTCTCAACTTTGCCCTCTCCCAATGCCTTCAATCCCATCACCATCGACCCCTTCAATGTCCACTTATTCCCCTCTATCCTGCACATCTCGATCTCCCCCACTGCATCTTACACAAAAAAGAGAACCACAATCTTCCCCCCTCCTAATCCCAGATCCACCAGCAAGCAGTTCGTTTCAATTCTTCCTGAATTCGATCAATGCCGGATCAGGAAAAAAAAATTGACAAAGAAACGTCTAAATTAAGCCCCTGATTCAATCCCGGCGCCTCAATCTAAATGCATCTAGCAAAAAACCACCCCAATTGGAAAAAAGAGAAAATCCCCAAACTCCAAAACTCTCCAGACATTACCATAAAACCCGCTTCAAGTTCCACTCCCCAAAGACTCCGCCGAATTGCAACCCCCCGGATTCAATTAAACCACCCCCCTCAATGAGATCGCCACAATTGTGGAGCCAATTCAAAGCTTTGACAAATGGGGTTCGATTTCTCCGTAGAACTAGTGCCGGCAAAATGTCGCCGCCTCCACTCCTGGCCGGCAAGGTACGACAGCGCAACCGCAAAAAATTAACAGATATATAAAGAGAGAGAGAGATAATGAGTTTGATAAGCAACAGGGTCGTGGCCGACTGTATTCGCACTCCAAAATACACAGAGAGAGAGAGAGAGAGAGAGAGAGGAGAGAGAGAAAAGAGAGAGAGAGAGAGAGACCGTACACCGCAAGAAATTAACCGCGGGTGACGGTGGATGGGGTTGGGATCAGCCGTGGTTAATAGAACAGACCAATAAATGCTGGCCAGCTATGCATCGAGAAAATTGGGCCCACATAATCAAAAATTGTAATGACGTGTCCAAAATCATGCCGTCTGATATCCACGTGGCGGCCGGTTATCGAGGTCCGTATGCTATGTGGGGTGGTGCTTACCGGAGTTAGATTTGCGTGCATTTAATCTGCTGTCGATTCGCCGACAATGTATCGCGATATTTTACTAATTTTCCGCCGATAATTCAGTAGAAACTCTGTATATAACTTTTTTTTTCTCATTTGGAAATTCCTTTAATTGTTATTTTTTTCCCCTTGATCTAAGATTTGGGAATACAATCAATTTGGTTCATCCCATCATATATATTAAAAAAACAACTACTTTCCTTCGAATTGAATTTTATTAAATACTTTTATATATTTTTATACTTACAACATTCAATATTCACCTTCTCGTAGTAATCAAAATTTTAATCACATATTTATTGTTTAATAAATTATTCATGGATAGTTTGATATTAGACGTACATTTTATTTACAAAACAATAATATTTTAACATTTAAAACTAACGGATTAGAAATGAATTTTTTCTTTTAATTCATTTAGAATTAATATTACTAAAATTTAGTTAATGATAACTTCTAACCCATTGGTTTGGTTGTGTTTAGATAATTATGAATTTGAAAAGAAAAAATGAAAAATGTCACACTTCTATTTTTTAAAAAAAAAACTTTTTAGATATTCTAAAAGGTAAAAAGAAATTTCTTCATAAGAAAGAAATAGGAAGAGTATATAAATAATAATTATCCAACCAGGAATGAATCATGTCGAATTTTCCGAATTATGAACTGTAATTTTCTGCAGAAAAACAAATCACGAATTATATAAAAATAATAATAAATGACCTACGATATTTTGGCGACAAATTATGTTGATTGCGTGGAGTGACAGCTGGCTTTCTTTTGAAGGCACTTTCGCCGTTAACCTCCGTTAAAGTGTCGGTTGCGACGTCTTGACGGGGGCGGGACGGGAGGATGACAGTGCATGAACGGTCACTTTTTCATTTGAATAGCTTGTAAGCCGTGTGATGGAAGTTTATGGCCAGGTGTCAGAATCACGGCAGTTGTACCTGGCCCCACACAGCCACGTGGACCCAGTTCACTTGAAGTAGATGTACTACACGGACATTCTGGCCTCCCACCTCACGCGCCGACCACGGAAAGCGATTGGGCAACACGGCTGCTCGGTTCGCGTGAACCATCTAACCCATGTAAGATGAGTTATAGGGAGAAAATTAGGACTTTTTTTTAATATTTATTACTAAATTTATTTAAAAAATATTTCTTCCATTAAACTATTTCTAAATATAATGTTTGAAAAATATGTGATTTCCCAGATGACTTATGAGGTAGCAGCTCCAGGTCTCTTGATCTGTAAACATAGCACCAAGTTTGATTTTTTTTTTAAAATCTACAAATCAGTATGAACTTTAAAAAGTAATTAATATGTCCTTAAACTTTTAATTATGTATTTAATAAATCTTTAAACTTTATAAATATCTACCTATTTGACATTTTAAAAAATTTATGAACCTATTAAACATATGATTGAATTTTATAGTTAATAAGTTCTTGAATTAATATATATATATATATATATATATATATATATATATATATATATTTAATAAATTGATATTAAATATATGCAAAATTGAAAATTCAAAAAATTTATTAAATTAAATATTCATGTCAAATCGAACATAACTCAAATAGTTAAGACACCTATCTTTGATCCAGAGATATAAGTTCGAACCCCACCCCAGTCTAAATAAATTTAGTGATTAATAATTTAACCAAAATGGTATTGAAAAGTTTTCAATATTAGAGATTTTTCCAATAATCGAAGGGGAAAAATGGGTGTCTCAACTGTGAAGTCTGAACTGCAGTGGGCCCCAGGGCACGTTGTGGTTTAAGGACTGGCTCAGCGCCTTTGACGGGAGAGGGTATGCCACGCGCTAACTTGTCGCGCGTGGCGCGTGTGATTTTTCTTTCTTTTTCTATTTTCCTTTTTTGTTTTTGTTTTTTTTTTGGTTCTTTTGGTGAGAATTTATCCACGGGTTAAAGTTTGCCCGATGTAAGGGGAAAGTATTCGAGGAGGGCCAATTACAACTTTTAGAAACTGAAATATTTCTGAAATTTTCTATAAAAAAAATTTGTTTATGATGGAGATCTGTCCTTTCATTTGAGATGTACACATACCATTTTTTGCCATTGATTTTTTTTTTTTATTTATTCTGGATATTATTTTAGTCTCTAATTTTTAAGATATTTTATCAGTCTCTTAACTTTATGTAATTAATTATTTGTACTCTATAAAAAAAATCATAATTATTATTTGTAGCTCTCAATATTAATTTCACATTAATACTCTAATAACACGTAGTCTCCCCTGAAACTGACACTAATTTATTACATATGGTTCTCCAAAAACTTATCTACATAGATATCTACCCATCAAATGAATAGATGAAATAGTTATATCGAGTTTCTATTAAACAGTTTTGAAAAAATAAATAATAATAACGTCAATTTTAAGTCTTCAATAAGAAATTCAAAGGATAAACATAATATTTAAAAATTTATTGTTTCAAAATTTCAAAATCCTCCCAAAATATTTATGTTGGAAAAAATTTAAGTGAATTTATTTTTTGTCCATATTTTCGTGATTTAAATTTAAGGTGCAAGCCTATGTTATATTTTAGGATAATTTTCAGTATTTTTTTATATAGTTGATGAGAAATAATCGAAAAAGTAAAATTTTTATTTATTTAGATTATACAGATACATACGATATCAAGGTTTGATCCAAATTTCAAACTAAAATATGTAATTAGCTTCCAAATCCCACTTGGAGATATATATATTGGATGTAAATCAATTTTTTGTTTTTAATATAACATGTTGGGAAAGGAATTCGAACTCACAGTTGGAGGCATATGTCAATTACGTTGAGCTAAGCGGATGTAAATCTAATTTAACTCGTGGTATTGCATTCACTTGTGAAATGAATTAAAATTGATTTTTTAACATAATTAATTAAGAACCCATAAGAATTCAATTTCAGACTTTGATAATTTCAAATGGAATATAATATCGGCGAAGACTTTGATTTTAATGGATATTATCTTCACTCTTATAATATATTTTATTAATTAATTATTGCTTTTTGAAAAATGAACTCCCACACAAAGGAGACTCGTGAAGAAGACTTGGAAGATGGAAAATTGCCCAACAGGCATTATCTCATGGAAATGAAATTAAAATTTAAACGCCAATTTCAATTGCATTTTCTCGATGAAACGATGAAGTTTTTAGTTTTTTATATTTATAGAAATAATTAAATCTATACTTTAATTCAATGGGCCATCAATATATGGTATGTTTGATTAATTATTAAAAAGATAAGAATTTACTCATGTTTTGAATATTGAATATTTTATTTGTTATTAAAAAAAAGGAATATTGAATATTCTATTTAAAGTTATTCATTCAAGCTACATTATTTTTTAAGTTAAGTTAGATATCAAAATGGATTGTTTTCGTAATTGAATTACTGTGGTTTAAAAAATATTGTTTATCGTTTTCTTTTAATAAGTTGCCGCATATGACTTTTTTATTTTAATTTTTTTCCGAAAAAGGGAGTTTTTCTTTTTAAATTCACCAATATTGAGCATTTGACCATATTTTAAAAATAAATTTGAAAGAGAAAATATTTAATAGACCCTTTTGTTTGAACTTATTTTACTCCCTCCACGCCTTATTTATTTTGTATACAACTAATAAAATATCCAAAAAAAGAAGAAAAAAAATTTGGGCATATGCCAGGCAGTCTTTAAACATTATGATAATTATTCCATTAATAAACTTAGGTAGGAAGTTTATTTAAAGTATGACGTAATTCATATAATATAAAGTTGGAAAAAATAATTAGTGGTGTTAGTGGCATAATGTGAATAATTAGCAACCCATTACATAAAATAATAAACCAAGAGGGGTTGACATCTTCAATAATAACCAACCTTGAAGTTTCAGGCTAAGGGTTGACTAACAACTCCACCATGGTGGCTTGCCTTAAATAAAATATTGTTCAATTTTTTTTGGGGAGAATTTAAAAAAAAAAAACCTAAATTTATTATATAAAAAAATATGGCCATCTTAATCCATCAATGTTGTAAAGAAAAGTTTGGATGAATTGACGAAAATATTTATTTTTTTGAAATATTCTAAAGGAGCTTCTTGGATCATTAAATATGAATAACTTTTATAAGCTTAAATGTTGGTCCTCGGTTGTCGAATTATTTTTGTTATATGTTTATCTATTCAATCACGTCTCATCAAGTCAATTAAAAATTTTCTAGTAAATTATTATATCAACCATCTATTAACGATAGAAACTAAATAAAATTATAATTTAAAGTTTAATGATATAATTAAAACTTTTCAGGATTTAAAAATTAAATAGACATACAGTTAATCAAGAAAAATTATAATTTAACCAAATTAAGTTTATTTTTAGAAAGTTAAAAGATGGGCAACTATTTTTCCTTAAAAACTTTAAAGATTAAAGGAAAAGAACCCTTAAAAAAAAAACAATAAGAGTCGTGTTGCAAACAAGTCACATCTTCAACCACTATTTAATGGGGAACTCATAAACATGAAGACAAATAGGAGATATAAAAGGGGGTCTCGAAATTGTAGTTGAAAAACTTGTTCCAAATTTATAGGTTGTTTTGAAATACACCAAAGAATTAATAATTGGAAAAAGAAAATTTCTCTTTAGAGGACGTTTTTGATCTTAACATTCAATCAATCAAAATAATTGAAATCGTCTTTAAAAAAAAAAAAAAGAAAGAAAGAAAGGGTAAAACTATATATTAAGAAAAATATCCTAACTTTAGATGGTACTGAAGCATGGTCCAAATAAAGTTTTGATCAATCCGTTAGTCAGTACAAAATTTGCCAGAGATTTCTTATGTCCTAAAAAAGTGAATAAAATTAAGAGTGTCCCAAAAGGGATTCGGTACCCTAATAGACAATTATTAAAATAGATAATGAAGCAAACAGGGAAGAACTAGGTGGATAAGTTGTCACAAATTGAATACATTGTGTTTGGCCTTAGGGTAGGTGAATACAAAATTTTCAGTGGTTGGATGGTCCATGTCCAATGCCATGGGCATAGGAATTGGGGACTCATGGAGGATAAAATGATTGGATGAGATTATTTGTTGCCCCAAAAATATTTTGGCTCTAGAAGCCCAAGCCTCACCATCCACCTACCCCGACTCGGACTCGGAGAGAAATAATTCACAACTATATATCTATATAAAAGCGTTTCATGTCACTATACATGTATATTTTTTTCTATATCTCTAAATGATTAGGTATGCTTATGTATCTCTCTACTAATCTCATGAGACAACTATCTAACTCTACAATATTTAATTAACAAAAAAACCTTAATAGGTAATAGGTATGAAGTTTTTCATATTAAATCATGTCACAGTCACTATTGAATTTCCTAATTTTACACTTTAAAAAAATGGTCTAAAAAAGAAGTAATGCTAGGTCTAAAAAGTGAGTGATGCTAGCGGTTTCCCATAGTCTCAATGCATGTTCATTACCTATGGCATGCTGATAGTTCAGCCTGTTTAATGGATCACTTGCATTAGAATCTTGAAATCCAATGAGTGACTCCATTAGCCAAATATAATCATTATTACCCCAAAGTGCACTTGAATGGGAATGAGTAATGTAATAGAGCAGAACCAAAAAGGAGAGGAGATGGTTGCTTACCTTGAAATTTGGATTCCAACTTTGTCAGAGTTACCATCTCCAAGTAATTGTGCATTCTCACCTGATGGAGCAACCAAACTTTAAGAACCTATCCATGAGAATACTGGGAAAAGAAAAATTAGGTGATTCAAAATGAGACATACAAGTACACATATATTTGTATTTGCATTTGTGTATACAAAATAAGGGTAAGATATACTTTTGGTCCTTTAAGTTTCAATTTAGTATCAATTTGGTTCTTGAAGTTTCAAAAGATGTACCTTTAGTATCTAACATTTAGAAAATAGTCATAGATAGTCTCTAAAGTCATTTAACTATTAATTACCGACGGTCAAATAACTGCAAGGACAATAGTTACTAACGATCAAATGACAATTTAGAACCATTTTTCAAACCTTAGGACTAAAAGTGTACCTTTTGAAACTTCAAGAACCAAATAGACACCGAACTCAAACTTAGGACCAAAAAAGTATTTGCCCAAAAAATACAACAATATATTTATTTCACCTAAGAGCTTGAATTTCTAGGTCTAATGATAATTAATCATGGTATTGATGCATAGAACATCAACTTCAAATCCTTACCATATACTTCTCTTCTCATCCTGAGTTAACAAGCACATCTAACCTTGTGCTAATATCCATCAAACGCATACATACACGAGAGAAAGTTAATACAATATACCAATAAAAAAAATAATAATTAGAAAACGCATCAAATTTGTCTAAACCTATAAGCTCAGTTTAAACTTTTGAGACTAAGTTAATTAACAATCTTTTTTTGATAAGAAAGTTAATTAACAATCTAAAAATAATAATCATATATCAAATGGGATATGAAGGACAAAAATGATAATAGTTAAAGTACTTGGTGTTGTACAAAATGTAATACATTCAAACCAAGATGTAGAGACTTGAAAGTATACAAGATTTTTGTACATAGAACCTCCCTCAGCGGCAAGTGCGAGAAGAGAATAAAAGAATGAAAATAAGATACTCTTTTTCCTTGGAGGGGGCGTGCTCTAGTGGAGTGATACGACCTGGGATTTATTTGATCATCATTTAGCCAACCAACGCCGCCGCCAAGAGCGAAAAGGAGGACTTCAAATGGATGAGAAGCAGTGAACGTGAAACCTCCCCCTGCTGTCTCCTACAATTTGTCTTTCTCGTCATCCTGAAGGTTCAAGACAAATTTGAATACCAATTAATAGGTACATAATAAAAAGAAGAGCATAAGATAATCATCAGATTTTAAATTCCACCAGCAACATACAGTAGCGCATGAAAGTGAATTTACATGATTGGCACTGAGATCTAGAGCTACGCAACTAAGAATTCAATTTGGATATGGTGTTAAAAAATTGTCATGGATGGGGCGACAGGAAGATTTTTTCGTCTGGGTGTTATTAATTTTTTTTTAGATCAGGGAGTGGGAGCTTTGCTCCCCTATACCTAGGGGCACCCGTGCCCACCCCAAATCTTGGTGTCGTTAATTATTAAAGAATAAAACTTTTTTTCTAATACGGAACGCTTGTTTGGCATCCAGTGGAGTGATAGGACTCGGTTTTATTTGACATCAGCCGACCTCCACAACCAGGAACATAGAAGAGGACTTCAAAAGGGTAAAAGCAAGGAATGAAGATTGAAGACAAGACAATTATACCGTCTTCTACAATTTATCTCTCTCTTCAACCTAAGGGTTTGAATTCAATACCAAATAATAGGTACATGATAAGTTGATAACAATAAGGAACGTTTTCAGATTCTAATTACCAGCACTAGCATATTACAGTGCTCCCCAGCTAAGCATCTAGGTAATGAATGGGAACGATTTAAAAAAAAAAAAAATTGTTAATGATTTTTTAAAATAAAATTATGTTTCAAATAACTGTTTCAGATAATGGATTTTGTTTGAAATTTGTTGAGTTGTTTCTATAATAGGCCTTAAAAAGAAACTTTAAGTGTTCTTAAGAGCAATTGAAAAGAAAACTCTAGTGATGAACAGTGACAATAAGAGCACAATAACCTAAAAATATATAATATATATATATATATTCTCAAAACTCGCACAAATATATGACCAAAATCTCTGGTAGGAGTTCCTAAATCCAATTAATGACCACAATAACTCAGCACAGTGGAGCATAGTAACACAAAAATTCACAAGAGTCTTCGATGAAAGTCTTGGGGTGCCGGGCACAACAGATTATTCTAACCTGAAAACAGGGAAGGAAAGCAAATGATAAATTCTACTTACCGAACTGTCAACCATTTTGTCAAAATCATCATCAAAGTCATCATCTCCATCATCTGAAAAACCATGAAGAAGATCAGTGGCACCAACCTCAAATGACAAAAAGAGAGCAACAGTAGTAATTAATAAACAATTATATAATGGACAGTGCATATGCTATGTCAATTGCAAATAATTGGGGAAAATAACGCTCGAAGCCATGGAAGTGACAAATGATAGTCACTCCATCAAATTACTTGTTTTCAAGCAAACGAACCACATTTCAATGGTGTCTATCTTTAGTATAAAGAAGTGAGCAAACTTTTGTTCTGCATCGTAGAAGGATCCATGTCAACAGACAATACAGCCTCTTGACGACAATGTATCAAAGTTCAAGTGTTACTGTGCTATCATTAACAAGCTTTTATAGACAATCTATAACTATAATTATACATCAAAGAAACAGATCTTTGTTTAAAAATTTTCTAGAGGCATGTTTTGTTTTCCAAAAGATGGTAATACACAACAGACATCATGAATTGTGGCACCGTACCTGGACCTTCATCACTATCTCCAAGGTCCCCAAGGAGAAATACATCCAAGTCTTGATCTGAAGAGGTTGGAGCATTTTTCTTTTCCGGAGAAGTAAATGTCGTTTCAGCTTTAACAGGTTCCATCTTTTGATTCCTTCCATCTTCAGCTTGTTTAGCCGATTTCAGCATGACATCCTCCATGTACTGCTTCTCATAGCTGAAAGAGTAGGAGCATATAGACCAAGAAAATTTTTACAGTTCATTGATGAAGTCTCTGAAAAAAATCAAGGCTTGAAGATCATGAACATGACACAAACGAGGGGCAGACCAATTGGTAAGAAGCAGAGTGCACTCTTCTACTACATGTTCTTTTATCATTAACTTGGTCATTATGGAATAAGGAAAGACATGGGGCAAAACTTAGGATGGTGTCTAAGATCCTTACAAGTTTTGGAAAAAAAAAAAACACGAGAAGTTTACACAAATAGTTTAAAAATGAGTTGTCTAAGAAGTATTTCACAGTAATAATCGTGTAGCCTTTTTTTTTTTTTTTTGGGAGGGAGTACTCATGTAGCTTCAGCAGTGGATCTGTAAAATATTCTACGTGAAATTCACTAGAGAATGAAATGTTTGAGATTTGAGGCTTGTAAAAGGACAGAAGCTGCTATTCTGATGACCATTCCGTTGTGTTTGGTAAGAAATAAAATCTCAGTGGAAGCCCATTTTCCTTAGTATGCTTCTTTAGCCCACTAGTTACAGATCATTAGTCAAGTGCATTTTAGGTTTGTTAAAGTATTCTGTTTGCTCTTTTCAATACATTAGTCTTTTAGAGTTTTAGGCCTTTTGAGAGGTTGAGCATAACATCATTCTTTACTGCACAGCATAGAAGCAGAGAATTGTCAATACTAAAGTTCCCCTTCAGGATTACCCATTTCCATATCATGCTCAGTCTAGTAACTTTATGACAGCAACCCGATGAAATAGCACCCATTCCAATGTCCAATCTAGAAAATAAAATAACTATTTGCGATCAAAATTCAAAGTTTAGGTCTTCAATACAATAATTTTCATTCTTAAGGTCTTCAATACATACTAAAGCCTTTTTGCCAATTACACCCCACCATTGTATACTTAGTTATGACTTAAGTACTTGTGCCTTCGAGTCAATTGAAATTTGAAAAGCAATACAAATCTAGAAGCTGTTATGATTTTGCAACCAAAATTCAAAGTTTAAACCCAGAGTGAAGGCTTGAACACAAAACTTAAACTTACGGTGCAATATGCCTGTTCACCACCATAAAGTAAATCCTCCAGAATTTTCTCTCTTTCATAATGCGTGGACACAGTTCATAACGTAACTTAGAAATTTCCTGCCACAAATGATATTAAAATGACGGTTACAAATATATATATATATATATATATATGGTAACAAAGCATGTTTCCAAGGAAGTAAGGAAAATATAGATTCATTTCCTCAAGTCCATCCACATGGCATGCGTGCACATCTCTTGATTTTATTTATTGTATAATGCCAAAATCACAATGAACCAAAAAATCAATGTTCCTCCACAGTGGGTACTCGGTAGAGTAGAGAAACCTACATTCATCTTCGCTGATATCCGGTTTATTAATAATAGTACCTTGACAGTTGAAAGAACAAGACTTGCATGCTTTGCCTGCCACTCAGTTAGATCCTGACTAACATTTGAGACTGTAGGGACATTGGACATTTGTGAATCATCTACAGATAAATGAACCAGTTTTAGAAATAAGAAGGCCTTGGTGGGAGAGAAATAAGTAAACACAACATATTTACCACTGTTAAAAAGATAGAAAGCAGGAGGGAAACTGTTTAACATCTGGAAGTGATAATCCAAAGGTCATAACAACATCTCAAGAGAATGCTTCACTTTAAAAAATAAACAGTACAAATATTATCCTGGTGCATATAATTTCAGAAACAAGAGATTTATATGAGGTTGAACTTTCCAGATTCTGAGGATTTGGTATCAATTCCTGCCCCACTTATAGTTCCTCTAACCAAATTTCTTACAAACTAGAGCCAAACCAAACCTAGAATGACCATGCAAGTGAGTAGTAGGAATCTAGTTTGTTTAACACTTCAAAGTATTATTGGCTTAAATAAGGCTCTGCACTTAATTAATGGACGATGTTCTTAATTCAAATGGAATGGTCAGTCCCTCATTATCCTCAAATCATTGCATTCCAAGACTACTTTGACTACAGAGCTACAAATTTAACCTGTTAAATGCACTCAACTTATTACCTTGCAAATATTCCAGAATATGACAAGGATCGATATTTTAAAAGTACCAAAGAAGGTGACACAAACTTGTTTGTGTGTGTGTGTGTGTGTGTTTTTCTCCTTTTAAATTCTTTCATTCACTAACTGATGTTTAAGATAACCGCTTCAAACTTCCAAAACACTATTGTTTGCTCCCGTTTACGGCATCAGATGAACTTTGAGGCGGCATTTGATTCTGATATTGTGAACACTCGGTTTAAGTACGTGGATGCATAGAACTTAAGGATTTTGCTTTCAGAAAATGAATAAACTGAGATGTTTCATGCCAATTAAGGTAGTGCTTCAAATGCAACGGTTCCCTCTACCGAGATTTAACCTTCGATATTCATCAACTCCATTAAGCTTAACAATCTGCACTTCTAATACTTAAATGCTTGATAATTGTGGTCTACATTTCTTTATTGTTCCCCCGCGTTACCTCCAATCAATCCCTCCACTGATTCCCAGTCCTACGTTTCTTAATCTATCAAGCAGCCAAGAGAGCAGATAATTCAAGAAAGTGGACGGATTACCTTCAAGTGGAAAATCCCGAAATGTACTCATAGTGATCCCTTTGACGAAGTCCCTCAGCTCCTCGTTAATCCCAAACCTCTCCAAATCCTCCTCCCGCGTCTCTTCATCGGGAGCCTTCCCGCCAGACGACGGAGTCCCCTCGACCATGTACTTGATTCGATCGGCTCGCTTAACAGCTTCCGCTTTGATTTGATCAGCTCGCTTCGAGGCTTCGGTGGCGAATTCCTTGGAGCGTTTGGCAGTCTCGGAAACGATATCGGATAAACTAGAGGATCCGATTGTGAGCTCCTGGGAACGCCTGGCAGCTTCCAGAGTCAGCTCCTGCGAGCGCTTGGCGGCTTCCTCGGCGAAACTTCGAGCTTTGAGCCAGAAATCCATGGCTGAACGTTGAATCTAATCTCAGTGTCGCGCTCTCTGTGCTTCTTCTTCGTTCCGCTCTTCCCGTCGACGGGATGAGAGAATAGAGGAAGGACAAAATTCCGGTGAGGGAAGGCACACGCTTTGACATCGGTCTTAGTCGTTGGCCATCCTCCACGTATTCATCTTCGGGAGATAAATCATAAATCCATATATTTTATGACTTTTATTTTTAAGTTACATTATCAATTTAATACTATAGTTTATGAATATAGTTGAAACCGAGTATAGCTCATTCTTTCGGGAAAAAAATTGAGTATAGCTCTGTTTACATGTCTTTTTTTCCTAAAAAAAATACATATATCTTCAAAAAGTTGTGAGTTTGATTTTTATATATATCCATGGTATTAAAAAAATTATATATCAGCTATTGTCTTTGTCATTAGGTTACGTCAAAAGTTATTGTACATTTTCTATACTAAAAAAACAAACTTCTAAACATTACTCTATAATTCAAAAATACTTTTATTACTTCAAAAATTCAGGAATGTTTTATTTTCTAAACTTATAAACATGTTTATTTCAAAGTATTCGAAAACTTAAATAGTATATCTTTCATATTTCAATAATATTTTGAAGCCAACATTCATTAATATTTTGTACAGACAGAAAACATTACATCATTTAGAATGATGTGGCAGTTAAGTGAATATTTATCCATATTTTTTTCAATTGAGAGTCGAAACTTTACCCTCATATATCTAAGGGCACCTACATCCGCCTCAATGCCCACATCCAAAAGACATCAAATGATTTTTTTAATATTAAACCATAAAATTCAAATTTGAAACTTCTAAATCAGTATGATCGAGAAATCCTAAATCCTTGTCAATTGGACTGCCTTTAGGACCTCTAAACCAGTTTGTCTAGATTTTAGAATTCAATGACACAATGATACAACCTATAAAATAGATCCTATTGAAGTAATGTCATGTTATCTAAACTAAGTACAAAATAGAGAAAAATATGAAATAAGCTACCCTCAAGGGGATTAGGACAAAATTGAATAGACAATAGATAACCAAACCCTCCAAGATTTTTAGAATAAAATTAAGACGTTAACTGTGACGTCATTCCAAATTCTACCGCAACAACTTTTCATTCGAAATATCAACGAATATTTGCAAAATCCTTTAAAACAAATGATGAGATTTTAGGCCAAGATAAGTCTAGCTCTTCTTTCGATATTTCCGTATCTCACATCTCCGAATTGTTGTACCAAAAAAAAAAAAAAATTTGTATTATTTTTGTTAAATTTAGTATTTAACAACCAAAGCATGTGTTTTTATTTAAGGTTAAAAAGTGTTTTTGATCTTATCCATGCGCTGTAACTTTGGAAAAGCCAAGACGTTCCCAATTCTTATCCACTGGGAGGTTCAAGAATCTTCCACGACAATCCCCTTCCAATTGTTCTTCGATCCTTCCCCACAGTTTCCTCCTTTTCGAAACTCGAGCCCATTGTCTCCCTCAAATCGCCATCCTCTGCTCCCACCTCCTCTCTGCAACTTTTCCCATCTCCAATCACATTGCGCCACGCTTCGTCTCCCACCACACAGCGACCGATTCTCACCGCAACCCCACTGCACATCAGTGTACCCAATTCTCTCCCATTGACCCAGTGCAAAACTTTCGATTTCCAAGTGTCTCTGTCGATCTTTCCCCACTTCCAATCTTGAAATCCGTCTTATAAACCCAGGGGAAGGGCTGAATTTGAAAACCCACTTGCGGAATTGGAAGTTTCTCGCCATCGATTTCCATTTCTTTTTCTTTTGTCTGAGCATCGAATGCGAACAAGTTGCCACACAGCGACAATTTCGAATCGTATCGCTATCCTACGACTTCTTTGTATTGGCGGACAGGAATCCTCGATCCTCGGTGTTCGAGCTGAAGAAACAGTCGGGATTTCACTCTGCGGTGGAAGTTCTTAAAGATTCAAGGTTCGATCCTTCCATTTTTCTACTGTTTTGGGATTTCGTTCGTTATCGGATTAGGATTGTTCTTGGGGTTCTTTTGTCTGATTCTGTTTCTGGGTGCAAATTACCGATTTCGTAACATTAGGATTTCAATTTGTGGGTTATTTTGCATGGTTGAAGTTAATGTAGTTTCAGTTGAAGTAAACCTGAGATTCGAATGTTTGTTCCCTTTTGAATTAGGGTTATTGTGAAAATTGTGGTCTCTGGTTTCTTTGAAATCATGTTGGTAATGAATGTGATGAGCTCCAAGAGACAAAGGCGTCCAAATGTTAGGCTAGGGGAAATAGGGGACATATCTGCAGCTTGGGCTTGTGGATTTTCTCAGGGGACAAGAGAAAGGTTAGCTCATAGAGAGTGGAAGAATGATTTTGTCCAAACTGTGGGTGATGAAGAAAACCCCATTGTTTATGGAGATTTTAAGCCATCTTCTCCCAAGTTCACAGTCTCTGAGTTGGGTGTGTCTCCTCAAATTTCAACAGAGTTGCAGCAGAATGGAGAGAACAACAACCCCAACTCTTCAGAATTGGCTTTGGAACAGCCAACTTCAGCTGAGTTAATTGACATGACCAAATCCAAACTGAAGTTTAGTGATGTGACTAGGAAGTGCAGGGATATGAAGCGTCGGGGACGCAGCAAAAACACAAGCTATGCCATTCTTGGTGGCAGTTGGAGCTCAAAACACAGCTCTGATGACTTATCAGTAGATGAGAAAGAATGTGAGGGAACAGGTAACTCTGCTAATGGTTTCGGTGACTTCTCTGATCACCAAATACCATCCACAAGCAAAGAGGAATATGGCATCGATCAACCATCAATGCGTCGAGGGCGCAAGTTGAACAGCAATGCTCGAGTCGGTGGTGAGAAAGCACAAGATAAACCTGGCAATGAAGAGGACGATACAAATGCTGTTGGTAGATGGTTGGAGGAGGTTGGATTTGGCAGGTACGCTGGTGTATTTGAGATGCACGAAGTCGACGAGGAGGCTTTGCCGCTGCTGACCATCGAAGATCTCAAAGAGATTGGCGTATTGTCGGTTGGGGCTAGAAGGAAGTTGTACAATGCAATCCAACAATTCCGAGGAGGAGGAGAAGAAGCTGTTTGAAAATTTAGAAAGATAAATGTGGAGAGAATCACTGGCACACTTGTTAAGCTCTCTTTTGTTTGTGCAGGAAAAAGCCATGGATGGGATGTACATATACCTTCAACATCTTTTTATGTTGGGTAGCTGTGTGAATACAAAAACCTGCTTTTGGGTGTAAATTTGATGATGGCTTCATTTTGAAGAAAAATATGTTTTATGTTTTTATCAGTTTAGTTTCCTTGTTGAGAATGAACCTCTTTTGTTCTGCATTTTTGGTGTTGCTGCTAATGACTTGATTGATAACTAGCATTATTGTTGTGTAGTCTTCGATGATATATGTCTTAATCAATTGAACGATGTTTAGATTACGTACATTTCAAAGATGATATATGTTTTAACCAATTGAATGATATTCAGATCGCATATATTTCAAATTTCAAAGTTAAAGTTGAGATGTAGATGGTTCAGAAAATGATTTGTTTTCACTTGAATAATTGAACTTGCCATTATAGAATTTAGGTTTGATGATTTTTACCTTTCACCATTTTGGGAACACATATTCTTGATCTTTACGTATACATCTTCACCTTGAGGGGACAATGATAGCGATTTCCAGCCTTTACTTGTACTTTTTTTTCCCTACAAGTCATTGCATTTTTCCAAAGTATTTAGAAAGAAAGTTACTTCAATATGATTTGAAATCTTATTTTAGTTTCATAATTTCAAAATGTTTTGGCTTTATTTCTAAATTTTGTATAAAATAATTTTAACCAAACGTGTGAAGTTAAATATGACCTCAAATTGTTGTATCTTTATAAACAAAACTTAAATTCTAATTCACATAGATAATTTTACTTTTTTATTTTCTCACCAAAAATAAATAAAATTTAAATTCTAATTCACATAAATAAATAAATAAATAAATATATATATATATATATATACCCCAAAAGTCATGTATATTGCAAACGAAAAAGAGACATTTCACAATGGCGGCATAATTGGTTAGATTATTCATGGTTGGGATGGGAAAATCATTGAGACTAGTTGTTAATTTACATATAATAAATGGTTGATTACAGTTCTTGAAGCATTGGCGATTTGTGGAATTTGACTGTCTTGAAATCATTCACATATCAAACATTGAAGAAGAAGATCAAATCATTCACATATTAAACATTGAAGAAGAAGATCTTATAGAATTCATTCGTTGAAGAAGTTCCATCCATCACATAAAATTTGCATAATATGGAGTCTGTTTAATATTTAGATGTTTGAGTTAAGTATCGTAATGTACTTGGTTATCAATTATCTATTGTTTCTTTCTTTATCTCTTTTTTTTTTAAATAGGTAATTCACAACATAACACTAAGACACAAAATAACAAAGAGACTAGCCAATAAAGATTCAAAAGTACCAACGAAAAATAAAAAGAAACAACTTAAATAAAAATTAATTTATGAAAATAAATTTCAAGTACACCCTATGAATAACAGTGAACTAGAACTAAGCAACAACACAGATACACATTTACTCCTTAGATTAGATAAGCATGAAGAATTAAAAAGGAACATATAGAAGGAAAACAAAAGAAAACCAAAATATAATAAAAATGAAAGTTTCTTTCCCTATATTAAATGCAATAAATGATGATAATAAATCTTGGTTGAGTCCCACATCGAAAGAGTGGGAAAAGAAGGCGCAGTGGTGGGAGTATAAAATAGAAGCAAGCGGACGGTGAAGAACATACTTACCTGGACGGGGTCGATGGGCGATCAGTAAGGCCCATGTCCTAGCTTGGTAATCTCCATTGCACTACGGAGGGGTGCCAGCCTAAGGTCTGCCCACGTGGCGGAGCCTACGTCATAATTTGTGGTAGTGGGGGCCTGCGTTCGCGCGGCCCCTTACCTAATATTAAGCCCAATCTTCCTACCCATTCATTTTTCGGCCCATCAACTTTATTGGGCCGTAATTTCAGTTAAGATTTTTCCATAGATTCGCTGGGCTTTTTGCCCAGGCCCAGATCTCTTTTTGATAATTCAGCGGAACTTCTTTTTGTTATCATTTAAAATCATTTTTAATTCTGTGTTATTTTCTTAATAGATAATAGTCTTCTTATACGACAATATCATATATTAACATGTTAATAACTATCTCCAAGACCCGGACCAGGTATGGGCTCCCAATTGGTTAAAGCTCAAACAAATATCCGATCATTTTCAATATTCTAACAATGAGTTTATAATAGATATGAATTATTATTTCTCTCTTTTCCATTTGGTTTTGAAATGGAACCACATGAATGTTAATAGTTCTCTCAAATATAACTAAAATTTTTAGATGGAGGAGATAGGATGTTAATACATCCGATACATAATTTAAATGTGGAAATTTATTCTCTAAAAAAGGAAATATTAAATGATTTGATATAGGAACCATATAAACATATCTATTTTATATTCGATAAGTACTACTACACAATCGTGAATCGAAATGGATCTCATTTTAAGTTGGAATTGCAATGTACCTTTGTTTCATTAATTAATTTAATAGCAGATACTAATTTCCATCTAAAAAGTGTTTTCCAATTTTTATTTTATTTTTACATTAACAATTGTTTTACTTGATTTAAGTGATTTTTTATAGTGGAAAACTTAAATCTTCGTTGGGCATTTCTTTTTGTTGGATGTCGTTTTATTAGTATTTATTTCAGACAATTTGATTGATTAGTAATTATTTTACCCCATAATTTATTAATTTTAAATATCAAAATGTAAAATAGACTAATTAAATGAAATAGAAAAGAAACAAAGCTTCGTTTTGATGATTAAGATTGACATATAAGGAAAGACTTAAATAAATGAAAGAGACCCACCCATAAATAAATTATATAATGTAATTAAATGGAAAAGGGAAATAGATAAATATTTGGTTTAATATCTAAAACAGAAAATATCTAAAATAATAATGATTCAATTTCTGGTTTGTGTTTGCATGTGCACAAACTGATGCCTTGACGGCGACGTTTTTGATGCCGTCCCAATTACCCACTTGCCCTCCACGCCTTCAATTTGCCATTAATCATTCTTTGACCTTCGCTGTAATTTTCCCAATTTATTCCCTTTTAATCCACAATATTATTATATGTTTTTTCTTAAAAGAAAAAAAGTTCAGTTTTTTCCGGTTCGCACAGACAAATCAGTTGCCATAAATTGCGATTCCAACTCATTCCCATTATGTCCATTACATTATTATTTCGTACAAAAATTGACCTTTACTTTGTAGAGAATTTTTCGAAAATTTGTTTACTTTTTTTTTTTTAGTATAACGAGGTATAGATTATTCAACCTTCGATTTTGAGGGAAGAAATACTGATCAATAACCACTAAACTATGTTCATATTGATCATAAGCCTATGTACTTTAATTAATTTAATTATGTTCTGGTTGATATTATATATTATTTTAAAAACCATAGTTTTAAAGTTTTTAAAATATAAAATTTTGATTCTGAGACACCCTCATAAGTATTTGGTTCAAAATTATAGGAAAAAAAGAAAGAATCTAATAACTTAAAGTATTTGTATTATCTCTGTACGTTTCTACCTTGGTAGCAATCTCATCAACCCAAGTTTTATTCGACAGTCCCTTCTTTTTCATCCGATATTGATCCACGACCATTCTTAGTATCTTTCCGAGGATATCCCATATGAAATTCGCAACGAGTATTCCAAACCTCCTCGAGACTATATTGATAGTTTAGAAAAAAGTGGATTTGAGCATAAACTTAGCTTCTTCGATTAGGCTACCACTCAGGACTTGGTTTAGCGATTAGTTATCTGATGAATCTCCCTACAGTATTAGGCACCTTTAATCTAGGTTTTGATCCCAAAAGTCCATTTTGAATTGAGAACATCTCACTTGTATATTCATAGACGAAATGTGTCGACATGTTTCTCTGTAAAAAATTCTTCATTGCTCAAGTCACATCAAAAGTATATAAAACTCTTTTAAAGCTCAGTATGGAGTAAATTATGAACACAAATTTACCCCACTCATTAAATATGATATAATTAAATTGGACCTTTAAATTTTATAGAACATAACCAAGCTTATCAATACAAACTATCAACTACAAGAAATCAATATCTCAATATCTCAATGGTTGAATGAAATAGAAGCCCATGATTGAAGGGAAAGAGAAAGAAGACATAATTAGAAGAAAAAATAAAAATAGGGATATGACAAAAAGAAGAGAAGTGGGTTTAGTTAGTGTGAACTATTAATACAAACAAGTGTAAAAAACAACAAAGATATCACATGCTCTTCCCTTTGTTTTGTCCAATGTGGGCTCTTTGGGACCAATTTCTCTCTCCACTACAAGACAAAGACACATACATACACACAATTTTGTATGCATTATTGATACCTATTTTACATCCCCCTGCTCCTATATTTGTCGTTGCTTGCCAACTCAAAATTAGATAATTTTTTTTTATATCTGTGAGTGTTTGGGCCAACTTACGTTAATTGCCTGATCCTACAACATTTGGTACCAGAAAACACAAACGAATTACTAATTTCTAAGGTAGGTGGTCGTCATGAGATTTGAACTCATTCCCTGAATTAACCCTAATCAACTAAAAAATAGTTAAGTAGATAAAATATTTTGTCATGTTCTTTAAGGTCGTCGAAGATTCGATTCCCACTACCACATATCTTGGAAAAAAAAAGAACATCTGTAGCTCTTGAAACTCTTCTTGAAATTTTCTCAATTCGTTTGGTGTAATTTTGAATCTTCTTGCAATCAAATAAATCATTGGATATATATGTTTAATTCAAGCATATATCTTATTGTAATTTCGTTTCTAAGCTTTTGAAAATTTTATTAAGTACCAAGATAATTTTAAATCAAAGTTTTTTATTCAATAACAACATTGTTGGAATTGAATAATGAAATTGTGACACGATACATAAAAAAAGTATCCTTCTCTATGGGGCTGAGTGGTCTTAATTTTTTTGGGTAACATTTTATTTTTTCCATTTTGGCAATTTCTTTTACATGTGTCGTGTTAAATCAACTATGTCAGTCTCATAAACATACATCGTAATTATTCAACTAACAACTTAAATTTTCTTTTTATTTTCTTTCAAATTTTTGAGTTCAATAACGTGGGGTCGGAGAATTGAGTCTTCCACCTCCAAAAATAAAAAGTAAAAAAAATCACAAATCAATGTTGAAATTAACCAACATTTAGCGGTAAAAGATT